TCACAATGTATCTTTTGTTTAACAGAGTCAATATTTTTAGGTATCACAGTGGTATCATAGTGGTATCACCGGAGGACGGTGGCCGGAGGCCGGAGAACGGTGGTCGGAGAGAGAAGAGAGGAGAGAAGAGAGTTTAAAAATACCAAAAATATCCTTGCATTAAGATTTTAATTTAAAATTACCAAATTTATAAATTTCCTAATTTATCTATTGATTTGTGGTTAATATTGGTTCTCACAGTTACCACAAACAACTCAGTTCTCCCTTGAATAGGCCTATATATATATATATATATATATAGGCCTAATCAAATGAAGAACTGATTAGTTTGTGGTAACTGTGAGGTCCAATCTCAACCACAAATCAACAGATAAATTAGGAAATTAATAATTATGGTAATTTAAGTTAAAATTATAATTAGAGGGCATATTAGGTATTTTTAAAAAACTCATCTCTCCCCTCTCATCTCTCCGACCTCCGGTGAAATCGGTATTACAGTATATCATAATGGGTATCACATTGTGTATTACAATGAGTATCACATTGTGTATCTTTATTTTTAAGGTTTGAGTTGGTAACTTCGTATCATAGTTGGTATCACAATGGTATCACATTATATCACAATGTGTATCAGATTGTGTATCTTTATGATTACTTGGTACCTGCCGGATTAATGTTCACCGAAGGTCGGAGATCGGAGGTCGGAGAGATGAAAGAGGAGAGAGGAGAGAAGAGTTTTTTTAAAAATACTTAAAAAGCCCTCTAATTATAATTTTAACTTAAACTACCATAATTATTAATTTCCTAATTTATCCGTTGATTAGTGGTTGAAATTGGATCTCACAGTTACCACAAACTAATCAGTTCTCTCTTGAATAAACCCCTATATAGAGAGAGAGAAAGAGAGAGATAAAAGTCATGGAGAAGAGGAATAAGTGACAACCATAGAAAAGAAAAGAAACACATCCTTTGTCGAAACAAAGAAGAAATAAACAATTTCATGGAGAGAGAGAGAGAGAGATAATATGGGAATGTGAGAAATAATAGAAGGGAGTTACATTTTGGTGACCGGTGACAGAGAGAAACATATGAAATTTCAAAAAATAATAAAATAATGATTTTTTTCTTCCAATTTTGCCATCCATTCTAATTAAACCTTACTTAAATAACATTAACTTCCCTTTTATTTACAAGTATGCCATTTTCATTCAGGCCTTTGATTTTTTTGATCTAATGGTTGTTAAGATGTTTCTCAAATTTTCATTCTTTTTTTTTAAGTTTTCTCCCGAACCTCCACACACATACAAATACATACATACATACACACACACACACACACACATATATATATATATATATAGAGAGAGAGAGAAAGATGATTGAGTTCCGATGAGAAAGAAAGTTAAAGTGAGAAGTGTAAGAATGAATTTACACTCTTAGATGTACATTAGAATGAAATGCACTGAAATGAGATGGACCAAATCAATCCTTGTATCAAACATGATTTGTAGGTGAGTTTGAGTTAAAAAATAATCAAGGGTTCAGTTCCAGCATTACACTTCTCACCTTAACAAATCAAATCATAAAATAATATCTTATTTTAGTTATTTTGATGTTATATATATATATATATATATATGTATGTATATTAGTGTGTATAAAATATTGTTTTTACTTTTTTTATATAAAAATGGACAAAAAAATAGGTAAAAGAATAAAATGACTCTTAGTTTAACGGAGTTAAAGAAGGTATTAATCAGAAAAACCATGACCAAAACAAATTGAATACCATAAGGATCATATCATAAGAATCAAAGAGAAGAATATCAAAACATAGAGACCAAGTCTACAATTCACTCTAATTTTTATTATCATAACTATTTATTCAATATAAAAATTAAAAAATAAATTAATACTTAATGGATGTTTAGGATTATTTATTTGAAACAACTTATATTTTTTTATAAAAACATTTATCAATTTATTATAAGTTAAAAGACTTTAACTTCTTTAAAACTCCTTATTACTGGTTTGATACATGCATAAGTTATTTATCCAAACATTTAAAAATACTTATTACCGATGTCACACCAAAATAAGTCAATAAATTATTTTTATAAACAATCTCAAACACCCCTAAAAATAAGTTAATAGATTAACAACAATAACTCAACATTTTTTTTTCGAAGGCAACAATACAAAGTGATCATACCAATGGAGCCATGTTTTCTTATTTCGCTTTTCCCTTTCCAGCAACGCCTGTACGGAATATCGGTTGTGAGGCCAAAAAGCATGCTCTATGCAATCTACCAGTGATACACCACCATTGATCGAGATTGGAAATACAGATACAGACTGGGAGAAAAGAGTGTGTGTGAGTGAGAGTTAACCATGGTGTCGTATATGAGCTTGTTGATGTATGGAGTCGGCGGAATTGTGGTGGCCGGAATGGCATTATTGGTGGTGTTTCAGGAAAAATTAGTTTACGTGCCGGTTTTGCCTGGTCTCACCAAGTCGTATCCAATCACTCCAGCTCGACTCCGCCTGATTTATGAAGACGTGTGGCTTACTTCTTCCGATGGTCTTCGCCTTCACTCCTGGTTCATCAAGTTCTCACCTGATTGTACAGGTCTCTATCTATAGATGCATGTTTATTTACATGTGTGTTTTAGTTGCGTGTAATTAGATTTTAATTTGCGAAAATTTGAGGTTTCTCGTGAATTAGGGTTCATTTTCTGCTATGAATCAGGTTATTTTTGATTTTGAACAATTATGGATGATTTGAATAGATTGCGTTGGGGCTGATCTTCCAGGTTAGGGTTACGAAGGAATTGTTTTTGTAAGAGCTGGATTTTAGGTTTAGAAGCACGTTTATGAGAGAGTTTCTGAACTGGATTGGAGCTTATTTAGTTCGAATTTTATACTGCTTATGATTCCTTTCATCTGCATGCATATATGCTTACATGTTTAGTTGTGGAAGAGAAAGATTAATGAAATCTGGCTTCTGTTCTTAGTTCCATGTGTGATTTTTTTGTTCAAACAGCGTCAGCTTACTAATAAGGTGAAGTTTGTATGTGTTTAATTTGATGATGAAATTTTGGCAGTATTTGGTAAAAGGTAAATAGGTGTTATATACACACTACAGATACGTACAGAGAACATGAATGTTTCTGATTGTGATTTTAGCTGTTTATTGTGTAATTTGAGTTTCAGTTGAGTGATCGCTGGAAGGGGTGAATATTTGATGAACTTGGCTTTGTAATTGGTTTGTGCTTATGTAACTATGTAGTAGTTAAACTAAGAATACAAATACGAAAAGGAAACTAGGATCGGGAATCCCCACTCTATGGAATTGGACAAACAACAAGACCTCATTCAACAATTAATATTATTTCGACTAAGGAGGGAAATGACACTAATTACCTAAAAGGCTAAAACCCTCTTTCGAGATGGGAAATGTCTCTCTATCAGAAACCATATCCACTTTCTTGGTAATTTAAAATGATAGAAGCATTAGGATCTAGCCATGACAATTTTTGACCAACACTCCTACCTATTTTCATTGGAGAACATCAATCATGCATCATGAAGTAATTATGACTAAACGATAATCCGAAACTAAACCCTAATACACTAGAGATTCTACTTCTGATGGAAGCCAGTTAACAGCAATTCAATACACTCAACCTAGCCGAAGCCCTACTTTCAACTTGCATCAATGACATAAGAATAAAGTACAACAAAGCATAAAATCAAATACGGGAGATCTAAGATTCAAAATGGAAATACATTACCATTATTGAGACCTCATAGGATATATGATTACAAGCTTGGATCTTCAATATATATAGCCTCTCTCCATTGTTATTTAAAACAAAGAAGCGAAGAGTGGAAGAAGAATAAGAGCAAGGAGGCTACATTGGATCTTGAAGAATGCCCTAAATCATCAAAAAGCTATTTAAATAGCTACAGCATAGAAGGTGAAATCCTTAAATTACCTCTCCTAATAAGTGTGTTTTTCAGCCTTCCTGAATGCAGCACAATTGTGAACCTTGCACTTGGCACAATTGTGCAGAAATCACTTAAGGTTTGTTTGATCCTCTGGACTCCCCATATGGCCCATGGTGTTTTTGTGGTTTGCAAATGGCACGACCTTGCCACACACACCTCCTTTACTTATCTTTCCACATCTTGAATCTCCCTCATCTGTGCTTAGACAAGCGAGATATGATCAAAATGCCGCATCAAGGTAAAATGTCCCAAGTATGCTACCCACGTACATGATTTTGCCTTTTGCTTATTTCGACCCCCACACACGTCCGGCAACGCTTGGTTCTACTTTTTCCATATATGCTCAGAACTCACCTTTTACGACTTGTAATCATGCCAGTGCATGCTTACTTGGAATCACACCAAAGAATCTAAAGCCCATCTTGTTTATTCGATCAAAACTTGCAACTAGAGGAAACCATAAGTCGACACAAGAAGCAATTGATGCAAATGCGATGCAAGAATGACTAAAAGGGGATGGAAGTCAATGTTAAAAACTTGAAAAGATGACAGCCCTTAACATAGTGTCTGTGAGCATGTAATTTTGTTTCATATTTGATATTTTTTTAATTATTTTGCTTTCATTTGGACAACAAGCTATGGATTGGAGATTCTCAAACATATCATAACAATCAGGGCTTGCTCAACAACTCTGCCTGACTTCAATAGCAAACCGATTGGAAGAGAATTAAATTTATCTTTGAGATTTGAATCTAGATGTTAATTTCACTTGCTATAAGTATGCGAGTGATCAACAGAAGTCAATATTCTTCATTTGGGGGTTTGGGATTGGAGGGGGGAAGGGTTAGAAGTTAGCGATATATCAACTCATCTGCAGTTGGCCTTGGTAGAAAACTCAACAGGTTGTAATGGGCCAGATTGATGATGGTCTTTTAAAATGGATACAATGACAACTTTTGATGTAGAATGGGATGGAGAAGGCTAATGGGGTGGTTGACAAGAACAAAGCTGGTGGTGAGAGAGAAAGATGGTCCCTACCTTCTCAAGGACCAGCCAAGAGAGATAAGCTCAAAAGTGTAATCAAATTATAAATCACTCTACTTTTTATGATGGTGGACTACATAACTCACTATTAGATGCTATGACATTGTAGAGGTCTAAAGTAATGAATTGGGAAAAGTTATATAAAAGAAGCAACTTTTTTTTTTCTTTCTAATAACACAAGGTATCCTAAAGATGTACTAGGATCCTAGCTCTTCTATTACTCCTGTTGAATAATTATGTTCAAACTTATCTCCTAATACTAGTACATAATTTCCAAAATTTTAATTTCACGGAGTTGCCATTGATACACTTGACCTTGCTGTCAACTTTAACTGTGATTAGCCTATGGAGAAAGCTAGTTAGATGAAAATAGGGAAAATTGGATGTTTGCGTTAACAAGGGTCTAAAGTCTTCTCTGCTAAAATGAAGTGAAAAGCATCTACCTCTACCTTCCCTACTAAAACAAAAAAACATTAACAGAACTGTGAAATATTTCTTAATTAAGCTCATTTTCTTTTATCTCAATCTTAGAACTAAGACTATAATGTTACTTTATTTGCAGGCCCAACTATTCTATTCTTCCAAGAAAATGCTGGAAGTATCCTTTTGCTTGTTGATAGATTATCTTTAGCACATGCAACCAATCGCTTAATTTCTTAACTTGACTTTGTCTTGTTATTAAAGTAAGTCTTGGTAGATTTAATTATTGGAGGACTTGACCAATGAACCGCAGATATTGCACATCGTCTTGAGATGGTGCGGATAATGTTACAGAAGTTGCATTGTAACATTTTCATGCTTTCCTACAGAGGGTATGCTGCTTTTTCATATTTTTGCAGGCGTGTTTGCTTTCAATGGGCACTCATGTCATGCTATCAATTTTTGTGTGTGTTTGAAGTGAAGGCCTCATTTCTTGCTGTCTTATCATGAACTAGCAGCGGCAGGTTGTGCTTTCCTAACTAAGTTGTGTTATATTTTACAATGAACAGGTATGGTGCTAGTGATGGTTATCCTTCTCAACAAGGAATCATAAGGGATGCTCAGGTTTCCTTCTAGCCATAATTGTTTTATGATTTTCTTTCTTCTTAAGTTATCGAAACTCTTATCAGCATGCTTTCCCCATTTTAACTAGGCTGCTCTAGATCATCTCAGTCAGAGGACAGACATTGACACTTCTCAGATAGTAGTCTTTGGAAGATCTCTTGGTGGAGCAGTTGGTGCTGTGGTTACCAAAAACAATCCTGATAAAGTATGTCCATTCTGATTTTTGATTGATCTTTTATTTTAATCCTGAATCAAAAGATGTATGGTTCAGAATAGAAGGAAAAGGAAGTAGGAGAGATAGTTTATCCATGGGTTTTGAGAAACATTTAAGGCTCAAGGAGCCGACCGGTTGATATGCTTACGATGTTTCTGAGCTAACCACGTCCACAGGTATGGGACATTAAGTTCATAAAGGGTTTTAAAATCTCTAGCAATCTTAAGAATCAATAAGATTTTTACAGACCTTCAATGTCCACCAGGAAGATAGACTATATTTATCAAGGTAATCAAGCATCCCAAGATCAATTAGTTTTCTCTGGTCATGTCAGGCTTCCTTGTGGCGGCCGGTGATCGTGGTGTGATTATTGGGCATATGGATTATGGGCTAACCTTGACGTTCTCCTCTCTTTTATCCCTTTCTTTTGTGTGTGTGGTGTGGAAGGTTGAATCTTTTACCAGACATCCACTTTTATCAGTTTGTTATCTAGAGGACCATACAGTTTAATTGTTGTCACGATTTTTACTACTTTTACAAGGAAAAAAAAGTGTAAGTTGATTTATTGATGTTAAATAGGAAGGAGTCTCGTTCGTTCGATATGAGGACAAATGGAAATGGGATCCACAAATTGTGGAGAATCAAGAAAAATGGTTTAAAAGATTGGAACCAAAGTTTTGTAAAGGGGTCTAGGAACATAAGAAGCATAAACGACACTGCACCAGAAGGATGCAAAGGAGTAGCAAACAACTATTGAACAGGCTTCTAACTTATTTTTTTACTGATCTCAACTCTAGGACCCATAGCGCAGTGCAAGGTAAGGAAGAGCGAGACACCTTAACACTCGTGTCCTATTTTGTATGGAAAAGCAATAATAAAATCCATATGACAGGCTTATCAACTTTATAAAAGAGTATCTGGTGAAAGAACATTCTGGTATTACATACATGAGTTCCATGAAAGGTCTGGAAGAATTAGGAAGGCATCTCACTGTGGTAGAAAGGACGTAGATGATGATTTGGTCAAACCCTTAATGGACAATCCTCTTATTGTTGGTGATTTTAGTGTCATCAACCATTTTGGTGTAACTGTGATTTACTTGAGATCAATTAAGGCGATGAGGCAAACATATGTGAGTTAGGAGGTGCGGAGTGCACACTTTCAAATGTTGCCCTATCACCTTAGATCGCCATAAAGCGGGGTCCTAGCGGAAGCGCCCCTAGAAAAAAAATTCGGATCTAAATTCTGAAGACTTGGATATTTCACTAAGTCGTAACTCTGAAACAATGCATATGAAGTTCTGGACCTGCATGTTCAGACTTGTATTTTTCAGACTTAGAAATCTGATAAGTCTCGACTCTGGTCCAGAGAGCCTATCGCTGAACAGGTCTTCGGCCTATCACTGAATCTGGTCTTCAGCCTATTGCTGAATGTTGTTCAGAGATAGCTCCTATCTCTGGTCAAGTATATCCAGAGATCTTGACCTTCATGTTTCAGAACTCAGATTCGGATGTAACTACCTTTCGACCTTATCCATTAACGGTTATAACCGTAAACCGCCGTTAACCGTCAATCTCTCAATTAAATATGTAAAACGAGAATCTGGGTAGAATCTCGAGTTTCACAGCCTTTGAAACAGAGAGAAAAACTTAAGAATTATTTGAATATGAAATTCGTGAACCCAAGGCTACTAAGGGTCAAATTGTTGTATTTGGAAAGTGCTTTCCTACACGATTCTTGAGTTTTATCCAGTCACTTTATCATCTCGATACCCCTTGTTCTAACACTTATATATTAACAATATCAACTTTAGGACCTACATCATAGCAGATGGTTCCTTCTCTGAACAAACGAACAGTCTAAGACTCTGAATATCTTAAGGCTAATTATTCCTACTGGAAAAGCAACAAGTGCACACTTGAGCAGCAAGCAACAGTCTAATGGCACAATGTAGAACTCTAAACATGAGAGAATTATTATGCATCATTTTCTAAAGCACTCGTTATCTATGAATCTATCGTATTGGCCTTTATATACAATTTCATGCGCCTTGCCATGGTGAAGTGTGCTCTAAGTTGTGAATTGCAGTTATTGTTTTAAGATGTAATTTCTTCCTGATGTTATACTATATGACTGTCCCAGCATAGATATAAGTAACTTTCTATCACACTTGTCTGTACATTGCAGGTTGCTGCACTAGTACTGGAGAATACTTTCACATCGATCCTAGATATGGCTGGAGTTCTACTGCCCTTTTTGAAGTGGTTTATTGGAGGAAGCATCTCTAAAGGCCCAAAAATTCTTAATTTTGTTGTACGTTCTCCCTGGAATACCATTGATGTAATCAGCCAGGTAAAACTATTAGTTTCTGGGTAGCACTTTTTGAATCCACATAGTTTGTTAATGTTCCAGGTATATAGCAGAATACCTTAAAGGTACTCATCAATTCGTGTTGCACAGTGAATAAATAAATTCCTGGTGTACAAAGGAATAGGATGTTACTTTAAACTTTCCAAACGAGCTTTATTGGGTGCTGCTGGGAGTTGCACTGATCACAGATAAGTTGAGAGGGGGAAGACTGCAGTGGTTTGGGCAAGTTAGTAGGAGACGGGGGACGTCTTCAGTGAGGAGGGTAGAAAATGTGAGGGTCAAGGGAATGGGGAGCAGAGGTAGGCTCAGGGGGACTTTGGATGAGCAGCTGAGTGTAGACATGGCAGCTTTAGCTATTTCCGAGGACATGACCTCTAACAGGAGTTAGCAAGGAGTCAGTTTAGCCCCCTTAGATGGGAGGAAGGGATCTAGTAAGGTAGAGGACAGGCGTAGGGTTAGTGAGTCGGCTGTTAGACTAGCGGTGGGGTCTGTTTAGCTCCCTGAATCGTAGGTTAGAGCAGGGGTGTGTAGTCCTTCCTGCCTTGGCTTTGTTCTCGTGTACATGTTTCCGTTTATGTGTTTTTTTGCTTGTATGTTAAATTTTTGGTTGCTTACCTCTAACTAGTATTTAATTATGCAACACCGCCTTTCTTGTTATCAAGTTCTTTTTTCATTTTCCCCCTCACTATGGACAAGCCGGGGTCTTCATGGAAACAACCACTCTACTCTTCAGGGTGGAATTTACTGTGCTTGTTTGGTTTGGTTTGATTGCTTTAAACTTCCCGAAAATTGTATATTTTGACGATAATACAAAGCTGACAAGCTTAAATCTCTCAGCGGTTTGTATGAATAAACTTTGGTGTACATTTTTTCATTGTTTTCTTTTTTTTGATGAGCTAAATAGAAATCTACGAGAATGCTGGTACACAATTCCCTTCTGTATTAGGCTTGATCCCAACCAATGGACTAATGGATATATAAATACACACACATATATATATATATATATATATATGTATATATACACATCTGAAGTCGCAATCTTTTTTGTAACCAAACAAGCTCATAGTTAATGTTGTGAATCCCTGTCCATATGCTGATTTAGTTGTAATTGCTAGAGATGACCTAAATTTTTGCATCAGTGATTACTAGCTTTAGTTTGTCAATTGCTACATAGTTAGAAAGTATCAGTTGTTTGTTCCTAACTATTGGTTGATGGTCTAATATGTGGGGTTGGTAATATCTGAAGCCTAATATGGGGTATTCTTAATTATCAAAGTTTGTAGTTCTCTTGTACTGCCTGCTTGCATATCTCACCTTTTGCTTTTTGCCTTTTGCCCTTTGGACGCAGGTTGAACAGCCAATTCTTTTCCTTTCTGGACAACGAGATGAAATGGTTCCTCCATTTCACATGCAGATGCTGTATGCTAAAGCAGCTGCACATAACAAACGATGCATCTTTGTGGACTTCCCTACTGGCATGCACATGGACACATGGCTGGCTGGTGGAGATCATTATTGGAAAACCGTCCAGACATTTATACAACAAAATGTTAGAGAAAAGAAGGATGATGAATCTCGCCTTAATACAAGTGGTATGTTTTAACAATCATCAAATGTACAGTTATTATGGTTCATATATATTTAAGTAATTATAATTGGATGATATTCCCTATTTAGTTCAAAAGCACGTAATGATTAATGTAGTTGCAAAAGGGCTTACCTTTTGGTCTGTTAATGTGCTTGAAGTTGGTTTGCACCTTGCAGTTCATATACTTGGAAAGTGAAATAAAAAAGAAGCCGGTAATTATAAATCAAGAATAAAAAAAACACTAAAAGAAGCCGGTAATTATCAAAAGATTGCTGGAATTCAACAGTAAACAAAGAAATTTCTGGTTACTCTAGAGGCCAGAGCTCTGCAAAGAAACACACTTATAATTTTCTGCTCACCTCTCCTACAACCAGAAATTTTTTCTACTAGCATAATAGGATTATTCTAGCTATGACCAAAATGCCCCTGCTGCTAACAGAATAATTTCCCCAAAAATACTAAAACACCCCTTCTAACCTCTTCTAAAATCTATAAGGTAGTGATTGGCCTGGGCTTAGGTCAGTGCACTACATAATCTTAGGCTAATATGGTGGGTTATAATTGTGCATTAATTGTATAGATACTAGTTGGCTGCTATATAAAGCCATGTGTTAATACAAGGGAAATTGTATTTTACAGAAGGTGATAAAGTTGACAATCTTGAAAAATTAATAAATAATTAGTTTAAGATAATATTAATTGTAGTAATAGACTAATAGTTAAATATTTGCAGGGATGGATTTTGTTATAAGAACTAAAATTTCCAATTTACTTTTTACTTGACAGAGGAAATCGCTGTGTTAGCATCTGCCACGTTTTTGCATAAATCATACAAATGTCAGGGTCTAACTTGTATTTTTTATAACAAAATTATCCATCTATGACAGTTAGAATCTTTTATGTAATTTACTCTTTTATGTAATTTACTTCTATCTTACTACAAATCCTTTTGTCTCCTTACTGCTCCCTTGATGTTACCCTAGTAGTCCCTTAACCGACTTCCATTGAGAATCTTCTCTACATATCGGACTGTTCGACTATTAAACAGTACAAAATGGGCCTTATAGTTATAAATTGCTAGAAAAAACTACTATTTGGGGTAGAGGACATGTCTGGATGCCTCCCACCCCCTCCCACCACAGACCCTACTTTTGAGTGAGATATCATATACTGTCGGTTTTGTTTGGTTTAGTATGGGAAGAAATCGTTTTCACTTCTGGTTCTACTCTCTTATGCCTTCATCTTCCCTTTACCGTCTCCTCTGCTAATATATTTTAAATAGTTTGTTTATACGTAGGCCCTTTGTATAATGTTAGCATTGACACAATGCAATCTGGGTCTTTGGGCTTCTGAGTTTGACCTATTTAAACAGTCCATCCTTAGTCAGGGGTAATTATTGTGGCCTAATCATAGTAGATCATGGTTTGTATGGATCATTGGCGTAAACTTCTAGTTTAACAGCAGTAGTTGGAAATTGCCAAGTTTCGCTACTTTTGGTGTTAATTTATCAATCAAATTAGAGAATCAATTGAACTAAATGTCTAAATGCAATGAACCACTTGTATTTTGTGACAATAACATATGACAATAAAGTAATTTGTTCTAGGGAATATATCGAGAAATGGAGTAATTTTTAGTTGTGCAAAATGCATCAAAATGCAACAAAGTTTGATTTAATTCCTATTTAGCATAACGATGATTTTTTTTCCTCAATAGATGAAGAAAATTTTCAAAGTTTCTTACTTTGTACCCAATTTGACCGCTAACCTGCTCATCTTGTAAAATTTGATGACATGGATATCTGTTTACAAAACCCTTGCAGAAAGGTGATGGCGAAGTGGACGATAATTTTGACATCCACGTTATCAAATGTTACAAAATCCACAGGTTAACTGTCAAATTTGGTACTAAAATAGAAAAAAGATTGGGAAAAAATGGATACACTAAATAATGACGTAGACAAACTCTGTTACATGTTTTATGCATTCTACCCTTTTTTTAATCTTATTGCCGTAGAGTGTACATGGCTCCGTTTTGTTCTTCTAATGGACGCAAAATATGGAACTTATTCTATGATTGTTTTACGATCTTAAATTCGTATTTACTTTGTTTATGTCATTGTTATACAAACCATCACTTGCACTTGCTTCCAGCTGCTTTCTAACTCCTTATCTTCTCTGGTGATTGTTTCTTCCTTCAGATTCCGACGCTCAGTGACCAACTTCTTTAAAAACGGCAGATGACAGTGTTAATCCGACCACCAATGAGCTCATAAACAAATTAGGTATTTTTTCTTTCTCTGACATTCGCTGACCAAAAGCTTCTGGTCGTTGTCATCATTCTTTTTTTTAACGATTCATCAGAAATAGGAGCGTTTTAAGTTTACAGAATTCTGGTGGTGCAGAGACGTTGCGGTAAGCCGTTAAATGACTTGGACTCGGCCTTGGATTAGAAAACATATCGAACCCTTTGTGCTGTGTTGTGAAATGATCACAAAATGTGTGAAATGTTGAAACCTAGATTTTCAAATATATATCTTAAAAACCTCTGCTAATTCGCTGATGAAGTAAAACTCTTATACGAAAAAGCCGTTTCTTGTAACTGCTGTTTGACAGAACATACGGACATCGTGTTGCCTTGCGTATTGTTGATTTTAATGCCGTAATCATTAGATTTGTTGTATATGGTATTTATGTCGTTTTTCTGTGGCCGCTATGGCTTTATATGCACCATTCGTAGGTGCGAAAGAATGGTATATGTTAGGACGAATTTGATTGGTTTGTTTTACAGTAGTTCCTAAGGGGCCGTTTACCCAATGTTTACCGAGTAAACACTTAGTGGGTAAGCGCTTACTAGCAAGAGAAATTACCCTCGCTTTATTACATAACATTCTTGACCATCAAAATGGATTGTTGGTATGCATCAAAATGCAATGTTATCGGATAAGATTATTGGTCTTTGTCATGCTCAATCGGTAAGATAAGTGGTGTCGGCAGACAGTTATCTGGTAAGTTTGTTTTTATAAAAGACGTGGCTCTGAAAGTCGTGCCTTGGTGTGAGTCTGTGAGATACGTTTCCGGTGTCATGTTAACGTTTGTGTTCAGTGTGTTGGTGTAAGCTGAGGCGTACCCCGTGTGCCATGGCATCTTAAGGCGTATGTATTATGCCGGATGTGGATCTAGATTTTCTTTAAGTGGTGGTACAATTTGATTATAGAAAGTACATACAGATTTGGTGGTTGGTTTCTTGTTTCAGTGTAGAAGGAGCCCATGTTGGGTCCTCTTTCAAAAATAAACACAAAAAGGTATATTAAAAGAACACCAAAATATAAGCTGTAAACTAAGAAATTTGACAAAAATGGGATTCGAACCCAAGCCTTCTATAAAACGGACGACATTTCCAACTCCGCCATTAAAGATTGCAACAAGAGTTCAATTTTAAACGGTATAAGAGTACCAAACAAAACAGTACGTTGATACCTTTGTAAACGTAGTTTTTTCCCCTTACGAAAGAACTATGAAATGGATGCTTCTATATGGGTTCACCCCCACATTTGAAAATGTTATTTGTTATATGGTTTTGTCTGTAATACCGGTTTGATCCGAGCTCTCTTGGAATAAGTTTAGCAGTGGATCACGAAATCTTGGTCATCTTCTCTATCTAATGAATGGGGAGTCTGCTTCCTTTTTTTTTTTCTCTTATTTTGTTGGTTTTATGACTTTTGTTTGTCTTGTTTTGATTTCTGCACTTTATAGAATCTAAGCCTTGTAGTTGTAGGCACTATATTTTACTGTTTTTTCTTCGTGTTCTAGTAAAAGTTATGAATGTCCGGTGTGGGCTTATTACCCTGACTCTAAACTTTCCTTGAATGTTGCCCGGACTCGTCTTGCTTGAAATTTTCTTTAGTGGTTGGTCTTTCTTTCTTTCCCTTTGGGAGCTTTGGTTTCTTTCTGGTGGATGTGGTTCGCCCCCACCCGAGTGCTTAATTTGTTGTTTTTAGCGTTTTTGATTTTTTTTTTTTGTCTTCATACAAGGGGCCTCCCTCCTCTGTATCAGAAAATAAAAACACCTTTATGTTATGAAAATATGTGAAACATTTATTAGTATCCAAATTAACTAACTTATGATAAAAATTAGAATAAATTAGTATTTATCAATAATTTATAGTTATCTTTGATTTGCCTTTATCCATCATATGTTGTTAGTACATCGACTTCTTAATGTCGATATCTTCATTGTTGATAGTGTTCTGATAATGATGTGATCATGTTTTGACAAATTGAAGACTTTTTATGATATGATTTTTGTTATGATAATGATATGATTTTACTGATAAATCAAAAACCAGTGATGACCATGCCTACAATTACTGGCTCTATTTGTTTACTGTGTGATTTACATCTTTTTTTTCTTATTTTATCCTTTGATATTTCTAAGAAAAAGGTAAACATTTATTTTATATTTTACTACTCCTCAGTTCTTCTAAAACAATAACTTAAAACAAAATGATAAACTTATACGTGTTCTCTAATTTACATAAAATACATATGTTCTCATTTGAAAACTAATTAGAATGATACTCGCACAATGCAGCGAGATACATTTCGATTTTAATACTTTGTTTAATTCTTTGTTCTTGTCAATATAATACGTTTTTATATGATTTTGAGAAAACAATAATGTTTTTATCTTTGAATAAAATATATATTTGAAGATATAATAAAACTTTATAAAAAATATCGATATCAATATTAAATTAACTATTTAAAAATTATCGTTTTTTGTATAATTTTTTAATTCAAATTTTTTTATTATAATCTAAGTTATGTTTAATAATGAATAATTTATTTTTGATTTAATAATATATTTTTTTATAAAAATAATAATTAAGTATTTTGTTATAAGTCAAATATTTATCCTAATTACATGTTAAAGTTTTTATATTTAAAATGAAATGTTTATCTTGTACCTGATTATGTTTATCTACAGTTAGTTATACGAATTAAAAAATGGAACTCTAATAAGTTGTACGTATATACAATTTAGGGGCTGTTTGGCAGTTGTTGAATGGTTTGATATAGAATGATTAAGAGACTCTCATGTTATAATGTAAAATGAAATATAATTGTTTGGTAATTTGTTTACGATAAAATTTGGGCGCTTAATGGTTAAGGGAGACTCATGATACAAAATCATTCAGAGGCTTTTAGAATCATTAAGAGACATTTTTCTTTTGTCAAACATAACTCACCTTTTAACGATTGACAGACTGTCTCTTAAGGGTGCGTTTGGTGCGCAGACAAGACAGGACAGGACAGGGTAGGACAGGACAGGACAGGACAGGACAGGACAGCTGTTCAGAGTTTGGTAAGACAGGACAGGACAGGACAGAACTGGTTAAAATGACCAATTTACCCCCAATGAGCAATCAGAAACAGCAAACATGAATCAAAAACAGCAAACATGAATAAAAACAGCAAACAAAATGCAGTAGCAAACATGAATCAAAAACANAAAAACAGCAAACATGAATCAAAAACAACAAACATGAATCAAAAACAGTAGCAAACAAAATCAGAAACATGAATCAAAAACCAGCAAACAAAATGAATCAGGTGCTGTTTTAGCAGATATGAACAACTACAAGATGCATCAGATTTCATCAAACCTAGCTCACGAATTCAAGAAAACAGCGAATACAGTCATCAATTAGTTGAAATTGCAAGAAACCCACTTGATGAAATCTAGAACGAAAGCTTATGTTGCAAATTCAAAAATACCTAGAATGGAAATACGTAGCCTTCATAAACCTATAATTAACAATCTCAGAAAACCCAAACMAGTCATTTGCACCACTGTACTCGAGAAGAGAAGGCGATTAACTCGCCGGCAAGCAACAGTCGGTCATTTGAAAACCATAATGCGTACCTGAGTATGGAGAGAAGAGAAGAACAGTCGGTCGCCGTCGATTAACTCGCCGGCAAGCAAYAGTCGGTCGCCATCGATGGGGTTGAAAACCTAGGGCTTTTTTTGGCAGATTGAAGCAACAGTCGGTCGCCATCGATTGGAAGGGGAACGATTGTGAAGGGGAACGATTGGGAACGATTAACAGATTGTGAAGGGGAACGATTGGAACTCGCCATCGAGATGAGATGGTCGCCGTCGATTGCACCACTGTACTCGAGAAGAGAAGACGTTGTGAAGGAGAACGATTGGGAACGATGATGAAGGTTTTGAGAGGGTAGAAAGGTAAATTACTTCTTGTTCCAGTTAGTTCCATGGGGGAAGGGTGGACTAACTTGTCCCACGCGTGTTCCATCTTGTTCCACTTAGTCCCACATATAACCACACCAAACATGGGATAAATGTGTTCTGTCCAGTCCTGTTCCATCTTGTTCTGCCTACCAAACGCACCCTAATGGAACTATTAAAAGGTAAACAAACAATCTTTAATAATCTTGAATTTTAAGTAATATACATTAATAAACAGTATTTCATGCATAAAAAAATTTAGTTTTTAAGAGTTTTTGTCAAATGTTTTATAATATAATTAGAATGGTACTCGCGCAATGCAGCGAGATACATCTTGATTTTAATGTTCTATTTTTATTATTTGTCTATGTCGATGATATAATACGATTTTATGTGTTTTTAAGAAAGCAATAATGATTTTATTTTTGAATAAAATATAAATCCGAAGATATCATAAAAAATTTAAAATATATATATCAATGTTAATAAAATCAACTATTTAAAAGTTCTCATTTTTTATGTAGACTCTTTAATTTTTTTATTATAATTTAATTTAAATTTAATAATAAACTAATTTATTTTTGTTTAATAATATAACATTTTATAAAGATAATAATTAAGTATTCTGTTACACCTCAATGATTATCCTAATTATATTTAAAAAAATTATATTTAAAATGAGATGTTTATCCAATATTTGATTATGTTTATCTATAGTTAGTTACAAAAATTCAAATATGGAGCTTTAATAAGTTATACTTATACACAATTTACTTGTAATCTTAATTTTTAAGTAATATGCATCAATAAACAATACTTCATACATAAAAAATGGTCTTTAAATTTTTTTGCAAAATAATTTATAATATAGTATAGATATAGATATATGCTAACATTTTTTTTATAAATCTAATTATTTTCATAATATGTCCACGTCATCCTAGCCAGGCTAATAAATAAATGCCACGTTGGCGATTCTCAAGGTGGAGTATTTTCGCATTTTTTTTATATTTTTCCCTCTTGAAAATAAACCTCTCCAAATCCCTTTTCTCTCTCCATCTCTCTCTCGATCTCTTGTACCTTTTCTGTTTTTGTATTAATGGCTGCTCAAAATTCCGGTGGGAAAATCTTCAATTGATTCTAGTTTTCGTTTCAATTGATGCGCACAATCACATAAGGTGACAGTACTACAACAAATTTGTTCGGAGAACGACGGCAATGGACGGTGGAGGTCGTGGTGGTGTTTACAATCCAAGGACTGTTGAAGAAGTTTATAGAGATTACCAAGGCCGTCGTAACGGCTTGATAAAAGCCCTCACAACCGGTGCGTCGAACATCTTTCGTTTTCTCTATTTGAATTTTAGTTATCTGACATTTGATTTCTCAATAAGAGTTTCTGTTTGAGTTTTCGTTATTTAGGGTTTCTCTATAACTTAGTTTGTTTAGGATTTTGTGTATGAAATCGTTTTACATTCTGATGTTTTTTTTTTTCCTTTTTTCGTGCAGATGTTGAACGATTTTATCGGCAGTGCGATCCTGGTTTGTATTAGGGTTTCTGTTTTATGTTGCTTCTCTGCCTTTCTTGTCGTGTCGTGCCGTGCGTATTCTATGTAGGGTATAGATAGAATTTTGTGGAAATAGCTATCTAAACTGGATAATTTGATACGTGTTATCTAATCATGCTTGCTAAAAGTCTGCGATTATCTTTTTGTTTCTTTCTCACTCTGTATTTTTATGTGTACTGCGGGTCTGTGGGGGTACAAATAGGGCCTGTATTTACTGTTAATTTAAAATGTTTCACTAAATGGTTAGGGGTTGATTTTGGGTATGGGTTTTTTTTCATGTAAATGTTCTCTATAAGTTGGAAACTGCTTAGTTTTCTTTAATCGTTGATGGGTCTGGTTTTTGGCAAGTTAGGGATTTTTTTTTTCAAAGAGGGGGAGATCACCCATCAAAACGTTGGTAAAGTTCACTCAAGGACCGTTTGGAACCAGTTTTGCTACCTTAGATAAACTATGTAGTAATTTGTTACACATGATTACGAGAGGCATTGGCGATTAAACTATGATTGTCAATCTCTTCTCAAGTGTCTAACTAGGAGATGGTTTTTTGGCTTTTCTAGAGCTTTGAGGATTATAGATGACATAATATTTGGAAAAAGAAAAGAATGCTTGTTTCTTTCTTGGCTATCGACATAGCCTCACAGGGAAGGAGCAGATGATGCTATGATACTGTTGTGCTACTATTGTCATGTAGACTTGTTTGTTTTTCTTTTTCACTTCATACAATTTTGCATTGTCAATGAAGAATTCTGTGATTCACTGTTTTATAGAGGTGCTTGAATATGTGGTGTGCTCCTATTGAGATTGATGACTGAAGAGTTTGGATATTGCCAATTATGATTTTGTTGTGTTCTGAATTTTTATAAATCCACAGCTATCCTGCAAAAAGGCACTTATGTGAAATTATACTGGCACAAAATGTTGCATGTTGGTTTTATTTACTTGTCAATACAATGCGTATTAATTTACTGAATTTTTTTTAATCATTGGAGGCTTCACTCCAAATTTCATACATAGGTATATATCATGCAATACAAAATGTATATAATTCTAATTTCTTTTTTCGCTCAAGTGCTTCTGTTGTTCTGAATTGTGGATGTGCACCTTCAAAATTGAAATACTTTCTGATTTAAAAGTTATCTAGTTTTCATCTCAAAGTTATCTAGTTTTCATCTCCTAACATGGAATGGTTTTATAGATGAATAATTGGAACCACATATTAGGAGAATGAGTTTGAACAATTTGATAACAAGTATACTGATATTTCAATATCGAGGCCTCGGGAAATATCACATATGTTGATGACCGGAAGCTGAACTCTAAAAGTCAAATTTGGCTAGAAGATAACTCTTTCAGGCTCCTTCCTTTGGCATCATTTCTAATTGGGAGCCTTTACATCAACTTCAGTAATATTACATTTAATATGCTTAGCCTGTTAGTCATAAGAGATTTTCAGGCTTTTGCTCATTGCAACTTCTCAATTTTGAGTTAATATGTAAATGCATATGATATTTGTGCAATATTCCAATCTTGTTATGCAACATTTACTCGGTAGCAACCTGAATGATCAGAGAGTCTAAAAGTTAGGAGGGGGGGGGGGTCAAAACTAGGTCAATATTTTTTTAAAGTATATGACGTTGATGTGCCAAAAACACTCACCTTAGCTGTTTCATGTACATACATGGAACATGAAACATGAACTTAGATTTCTTTATAGGTCTATTTGCCTTATAAAAGTGTATTTCTGTCTGAATAGTTGATCTCAGAAAGTTGTTTTAAATTGTTTTGTATTAATTTCTCTTTCAGAGAAAGAAAACCTTTGTCTATATGGATTCCCTAGTGAGCAATGGGAGGTTAACTTACCAGCAGAGGAGGTGCCTCCAGAACTCCCCGAACCTGCATTAGGTATTAACTTCGCTCGAGATGGGATGCCAGAAAGTGACTGGTTATCTCTGGTTGCTGTCCACAGTGATGCATGGTTACTTTCTGTGGCATATTATTTTGGTGCCAGATTTGGTTTTGACAAATCAGACAGGTATTCTTTCTTTTTAACTGGCTGTCTTTAGTTTAATTTTGTAGTTCTTATGTTAACTGTCTGTTTAGTCAGAAATTGAAGTCCCTGTCTTTAGCACAAAAGCTACTGAGTTGTCTTGTAGTTTGGCAACAACTACCATCTGTGGTAGAGCTTATTGCACTTAGGGGCTGTTTGGTTGATTTTCCATCAAGTCCTGTATGGATAAAGCTCTATGTGTGGATTAATATGTCATTATAGATTGGGAATGTTTTTGTTTAGGAGGGTTTTTTCATAGATGGAAGGAGCATGTTTTTTAATTGAGAAGGGCAGGTTTGGAAAAAACATGATGTTCTGCATGAAGCTCCCCCCAAAAGCTTACTGATTATCATTAAACTACCACCAAACAGTCAGTATTATGTATAGCTGACCTGAATAAGTTGTGAGTTCCATTAAGCTGCTAACAAACAGTCCCTTGTATACATTCAGTTCAGACCTAGTTCATGAGCTAGGCTATATCAAAATTTCAAACAGTAGATAACGGATCTTGTGAATTGTGGAACAAGCTGCTTTCCATTTTTTTCCCGTGTAAGTTTTATCACTATTGCTGTCCTGCATTTTAGTTAAAGCTAAATTGTGATTAGAGATATATTGTGTGATCAAAAGCATATCTTCCTGCAAATAATGAGAAATGAAGAGGCCCAAGCTGATTGCACCTCCAAGATGTTTAGGCACCATTACCTGATTACACATAAAGTGAAATTTTTAAACAACTGATTATTTCTAGTATATCAATCCTTGATGCTAGGGCTGTAAATGAACCGAACGTTCAACGAACCGTTCGTGAACCGTTCGGCGGGAAGTTCGTTTATGTTCGTTTATTTAATAAATGAACGGACATGAACAATTTTTTTTTTGTTCGTTTAGTTAAACGAAAGTACATGAACAAGAGTGTCGTTCGTTCATTTATGTTCATGAACGTTCGTTCTTATTAAGTTTAATATATAATCTTTTGTTTATTTACTTTGAATTTAAATAATATTTATTTATGTTCGTTTATGTTCATTTAGCCCGTTCGTTTATGTTCGTTCGTTTCCGTTCGTTTAGCATGTTAACGAACAAACATAAACGAACACGAACACACCTGATTTCTAAACGAATGAACACAAACACAAATATTTTCGTTCGTTTACCGTTCGTTCGTTTGTTCGGTTAAGTTAAACGAACGAACATGAACAAGCCTCCGTTCGTGTTCGTTTGGTTCGTTTACAGCTCTACTTGATGCATTTAGAAAATTTTCATAGAAAGAATTTATCCATTTCTTTAACTCGCGAAAAAGCTTTATGTCTAAAATTTGTGGTATGCAGATTGGTTTAACAGTCCATTTATCTATATCATTACCTTTCATTTTGGCATAAATATTGTCCACCGTGATATATTTGATTGATAAGAAGTGGTAGAAATGGGCACTGGCTTACGGGTTTGGAAGTCAATCCTATTATCTTTTCCATGAGTAATCCATATCAGCATTGTCTCGATTTCTGATACAGGAAGCGTCTCTTTAATATGATAAATGATCTCCCGACAGTCTTTGAGGTTGTGGCTGGATATGCGAAGAAACAGACGACAGAGAAGTCCTCAATCTCTAATCACAGCAGCAGTAAATCGAAGTCCAACACGAAAGGGGTAAAACATATCACTTCCATCCCAAGTTTTTCTAAATCATATAATTTACTTCGGTCCATATTTTTCAGTAATTCGCTTGTTGTGCATAAACCATGATACTATGCTTTGTATACTTGACACAACCATATATCTGCAGTTTCAGTTGTAGAACGTTAACTATCAGTCGTTTACAGTTGTTGTGATGTTTTTGGCAACACTGCCTCTCTCTTCACCCCATTAATGCTTGTTAGGAATGCATCTTTTGTTTTTTGCTTGTAATCCTATTACTTTTAGGCCATGATGTTAATTGCAAATTATAAAATACCCCTTGATCATGAGAAACTAATATTTTCTACGTCCTTCAAAAACTGCAACAATTTATATATTGGATATTTGGATGTCCCATGGTTATCTTAACTTCTACTTGAAAGCTTTCAAGTTACAATGACCTGTTTCCTCATATCATCATTCAAAAAACTATGATGTTGGTTTAAGTCGAGACAAATTTCCTTATTATGTTGTTGCTGAAGGTTATTTCATTCATTTGGACGGCATCACACTTTTCTAAAACTCTTAAAGTTTTAGTCAAATATTGCAATTTGGAGGGAGTAACTTAAGAGTTGGTCTCTTATGCTTTGAATTATATTCACACTTTTTTGACTAAATATAATAGTATCAACATCTATGTAGTCTCCCGGGTATAGGTCAAGTTTGCCTACATTTTGCACAAACGAGGGGTCTTCTTGGAAATAGACACTCTACTCTCTGCGGTAGAGGTCAGGTCTGGTGGACCCCACTTCTAGATGGAACATACTGGTTTAGTGGTTTGGTTTATATATAACATCAACATCTGTGACTGTATTAACATGTTTTCATCACATTTTTTTGTTCTATTTTCCTATCATGTCTACATATACATATATATACACACACTCATATATATATATATACATATATATACACACACTCATATATATATATATATATATATACACACACACACACATATATATATCACATATATATATATGTATGTATGTATGTATAGAGGGTCAGGTTCAAGAGAAACCGCAAAAAAATGAAAAACTGAGGAACACTTGGTAACCGTTCATCTACACAATATGCACATGTGCATACAACTGTAAGCAATTTGTCCGGCACACGTGTATAAAAACTGAGAAACAAACTTTAATTACTTGTATGCACATCGAGATAAATGGTTACCATGGTGTTTCTCAGTTTTTCACTTTTTGGTTTCCCTTGAACCTCCCCCTCTCTCTCTCTCTCTATATATATATATAAATATATATATATATATATATATATTTATATATTTATGTTGGTGGGTTGGGTGTATACAGAGAGGATCTGAATCCCAGATGAAATATGCAAAGATGCAAGGAAAGGAGGAGGACGATGAAATGGAGGATGAAGACGAGGATGAGCATGGGGATACGTTGTGTGGAGCTTGTGGAGAGAACTACGCTTCGGATGAGTTCTGGATCTGCTGCGATATATGTGAACGGTGGTTTCATGGAAAGTGCGTGAAGATTACACCTGCAAGGGCTGAACACATCAAACAGTACAAATGTCCGTCTTGTAGCAGCAATAAACGAGCACGCCCATGAGGCTATTGTAAGCGGTTCGTTCTAGCTAACTTCTAAGCATCTTAACCATGCCTTTGATATATGATTTTGGAGGATCTTACTTTATCCATTCAGACCTAAATGTAGAGTTTTTACTTCTTGTGTTTACAACTGTTATTTTTGATTAACCTGCTGTGCCTGTTATTCAGAGCATCCATAATGGTAAGCTTTTTATTTGAGCTTTTTTCCCAAAAAATGGGACCCACGAGCTTGGTTGCCAAGCAAAACAAGCCGATTGTTAGCCAAAAAGCTATCTAAAAAGCTCCATTATGGATTCTCTACACATGGAGAATTTTTTTTTTTTATTAACCTGGATATCCAACCCGCTATGTGAGTCGACTAATCCCAGGGCGACTACCTTCTTTGCAGATAGCCCGAAGTCACTGCATTTGAATCTCCATGGCCACAAGGAGATTTTTATTCCTCCTTGGATTTAAACTTGGGACCTCCTGACACTTTTGACCTTTGGAGCCAAGTTCAAACCAATCAGGCACCACTCTTGTATGGTGGTTCCCATGGAGAATATTGTTAATTGTTAGGATAAACATGGTGCACAAAAAAAGCCCAAAACCGAAGACTGGTCTGGGCTAATCCTCAAAGACCATTTAGGCCGAAAATTTGGGGGAAGGCCAGGCCCGATAAAGCCCGATCAGGCTTTTTTTAACCGAAAAAAATTGTGATCATTGAAACCGGGCTTGTAAGGTATTGGGGGCTAGGGCTGAAAAATATTTGGGTCTTGTGCAATCTCTAATGTTGGCTAGGCTAGATTCCAAACTCTTCATATCCAACTGGTTTGCAAAGAGATTTTGAGTTCAGATTGCAAGTGGATGATTTAGTTTAGGTTTCGGTGAGAAGGAAAGTTATGACGAGAAGCGTAAAATGAGATCTCCATTCTAATTGGTTGTCAACACTAACGAGGTGCATCTCGTAATTCCCTTTTAAAGGTCAAATTTATGTGTGGACATAAGATTAAAAATGATTAAAGATTTCGATATTTTTTTACACTTCTCATATGATCTAATTACCAAGTTCACAACATCGTCAAGTCAAATATCTATACTATATTATAAAACATTTGATAAATTTTTAAAAACTATTTTTTTATAAAAATGTTGTTTATTGATACATATTATTACGTAAGGTTCAATATTAGAATTAGATTGTATCCAAGTATAACTTATTAAAACTTCATGTTTGAATTCGTTTAACTTATTGCAGATAAACATAATTAAATACATGATAAGCATCTTATTTTAAATATAAAATATCTAAAATATAATGAGAATGATTGATGAGTTTTAATAGATTACTTAATTATTATTTTATAAAAAAAATTACTATTAAATCAAAAATAAGTTACTTTGTTATTAAACTTAAATTAAATTATAACCAAAAAACTTGAATCAAAAAAATTACAAAGAAAAAAAATAACTTTGAAATAGTCAATGTAACACCCTAACGAAAACCATAAGGTAGGAGATAAGGTGAAACCGAAAATACAAACGAAAACTAGAGTTTTAAAATAAGAATTCACCCAACATAGGGGATAAGTTTAGCGTTTACGAACAATTAATGAAACGATAAACAACAACCTATTAATCTAAGCGATTCTCTGCCTAGATTAAGCTCGGGTGTTTCTACCATCCCCAACAAAAGTACTGTATCGACGAAAGTTGTAACGCTCAAAACACCAAATGCTTTGTCTATAAAAAACTTTACAAAACAACGATCCCCTCAACCCTTTTTAGTCTCGCCGTTAACGGAACCTGATGCATAAATCATAACAAGATAGAGTTAGGCTTACGCCTAGTAAGTCCAAACAACAGGATAAGTGTAACTATACAAACCTTTATACATAAAGTATATATATATATATATATATATATATATATATATATATATATATATATATATATATAWATATATATATATACACATAACGATAATGTAACTCTAAATGTATGAGAGAAAAGTAAGTCCTAAGTAACTCGTGGAAGTGCCAAAACATTCGAAGATGGCGAGGTAGACCCGACTTACCGTTGATTATGACGGAACACAAAGTATGACATAGATCAACGTTATAGAGCATCACTTACAGGCATAATACCATTGACATCAACCTAAACCAGTCATGTAGTCGGTCGTGATCGTAAGCTCTTTACCGCGGAAATTACATAATCATCGCAATGACTATTTTCGAGTGGGAGTGGGGATGATTTGGAAATTACATAATGATCACAATGCCTAAATCCAATTTACACCATCCCTCACCCAATTCAATGAACTGGCTTACATGCCTATAGTCTCATTACATATTTGGAGAACCTGCGGGCCTTAGAGTTTTACGGCCAACAATACTTGAAAATATGCAATCCACCTAGTGAACAAACCATTTTTCTGAATCTTTCTAACATTATAATGGAACTCCCAAGTTCATAGACTTACGACGTAAAGTCTCCGTCCCTAATCGGATTAGCAATATTACACAAACAAAGGTATATAGGTAGTAACACACACACCACCACACTTAATTATAAAGTTATCATAAAAGGGTAATGGGTGAACTCACCTTGAAAGATTTAAAGGAAAATCCAATAATCTGAACAGTTGTTTGTGGTTGCTGTTTGCTGTAAATGCGAGGCACAACGACTGTTGTTTAGGCGAAGGAAATGAAGAAACACGGAGCAGAGCTGCTGTTTCGCTGCCTGCTGCTTGGTGAAACGCAGCAGCGGTTGCTGCTCGGTGTGGTGAATGTAGAAACAGCACAGCTACGGCTACTGCCTGCTGTTTGCTGTCCGTGGTTTAGCGAGGAAACGAGGAAACACGCAGCAGAGCTGCTATTTTGCTGTCTGTTGCTTGGCGAAACGCAGCAGCGGTTGCTGCTCGGTGTGGTGAACGCAGAAACAGCACAGCTACGGCTACTGCATGCTGTTTGTTGTCCGTGGTTTGGCGAGGAAACGGGGAAACATGCAGCAGAGCTGCTGTTTTGTTGTTTGCTGCTTGGCGAAACGCAGCAGCGGTTGTTGCTCGGTGTGATGAACGCAGAAACAGCACAGCTACGGCTACTGCATGCTGTTTGCTGCTTGTTATGGCACGGCTGCACCTGACTGTAGACTGGCGTGGCCCAAGATGTGGGTATGGCTTGAGGGTGCAAGGCACAGACACGGCTGGGCGACCCTGCGCGCATACGCGATCGATGTGCTCGCTGCTTCGAAGATCTGTTCAAACAGTAGCAGTCCCAGCTGGGTGTGTTTCGTTTTCTTTGGTTAAACAGCCTTGCTCCGATTATTTTCTGGTCAACCCGCAGTTGTGAGCGCTGCTCGAGCCCAACCAGCAGCCACGACTGCTTCTTCACGAACTAGAAGTCTAGATGCTTCGTTTACCTGTTTTCTTGTGGCAAGGGAACGATTTCACCTCCCCCCTTCCTGAAACTTCCTCCCCCTTTTCTATTTTTTTCTTCCTGCTTTAGACTAGCGGTTTTTGATCCCTTTTTCTCAGAAAAGGAGGACCCCAATGCCCCTATAAGGAGAGTCTTGAGGGTAAGACAAGTGTAAAGTGTGAAATGACAGCAACTAACCCCCCCATTTTGAAAAGGCTTAACAAATATAAGTTATAAACTTATAATTATAATACCTAAATAGCACTAACGAGACGGAACCCTTGACATAAACGGAATAGAGAAAACGGGAAAATCTCAAGTGTTACAATCCTCCCCACCTTGGATTTAATTTCGTCCTCGAAATTTTAGCTCATGCGAAAAGGTGCGGGTAACGCCTCTTCAAGTCCTCTTCTGCTTCACATGTTACGCTATGCTGTCAAAATCGCGATATATCGCCGATATATCGGCGATATATCGGATATCGCTTGAAAAAAAAAATCGTTCATGAAAAATCGGCCAAAATATCGCCAACGATATTATCGGCGATATTTGGCGATATTTGACGATATTTTGAGCGATATTTTAGTGAAAAATCGGTCCGATATTCCGATTTTTACAAGGGTTAAAATTTGGGCTTTTTTTTTAAGCTATGGGCCTTAGTTTTTTGGGCTGCTTAGTAAATTAGGTCTAAATCTAACATTAAACTTAGTCAGACTTCTTTCTCGGTCTCTCTCTTTTCTCTCTYGCTTTTCTTCWCTCGGTCTCTCTCTTTTCTCTCTCGCTTACGACTTACACAGAGGACAGAGCCAAGCGCCCAAGCCACTCCAGCTCTCTTCTCGATCTCCTMTRTTTTTCTTCTAGTCGACGGACTACTCTRTTTTTCTTCTAGTYGTTCTCACAGCCAGCAAGAGCCAGGTTTGAATCCTATTTTGGTTATGACTTATGAGCTGCAGGTTGTAGACTTGTATCATATATTCATATATTGTTTATGAGCTGTAGGTTGTATCATATATTCTTGCATTAAGAGCTGTAGGTTGTATCATATATTGTTGGCCATTTGCTTATAAATTATTTGTTATAATTTGATCAGATACTGCTGTAGGTGAGTGGCTGTTTAGAAGTTAGAACTTAGAAGTTAGAATTAAGATCTTAATTACTAAAAAAGCAATGGAAAGTAGAGAAGGGGGTCAATCTTCAAGGGCATTTGTGACCCCGATTACTACTACTACTACTTCATCAGATGCGGGTACAAAATGCATCAATGGAGATATGGCTTGGGAATGGGGGGTATGGAAAGATCCAACCAAAAAAAATTATGTATGGTGTACCTTATGTGATAAAAAAATGAG